GAGTCCTTCTGGATCCGCGGCGTGCCCGTGCATGCCAGGGTGGGCCTGTCCTGGCCCCCGCCTGTGTCCCTCTGTGCCGGAGGGGCATCCATCGCATCTCCAGATGCCGACATTCCCCTTGTAGAATTGGATGATCAGGCGGTCGTCGTTCGCGATGCTGGCAGGGAGGGCGGCTCCCACGTTGAAGGGGTTCAGATCGCCTTCCAGTGGGACCGGTAGCTGGTCCAGGGGCGTCGGGGCCGTGGGTAAGGGCGTCGGACGCAGCCCTGGAAGGGCGCGCGTTGCCCGGACAGGCATGTCGTCGGGGCGGTCGTTGATCCAGCTGTTGAAGTCCACGTCGTCTGGAATCGGCTGCCGCTCGGCCATTGCCTTCGTAGCCCAGCAGCATGTGCAAAGCCAGGTCAGGTCCTTCCCCTTGTAGTACTCCGCCAGCCTGTTGCTGCTGATGCTCCGGCGAATTCGTCTGCTGACGCATGCGCCCTTATCGTGCTTGAAGGGGCCGCGCAGGCGCCCTTGCCAATAGAAGTCGGCCTTGTACTGGTCCTTCCTCCACCTGGTGTCTCGGCTGTCCAACCATGGGGGCCTCAGTTAGCGTCACTCCAGGGCGTGGCCCACGAGGGGCGGGCGCGTCCACGTGCAGGCGCGTGTAGGAGTATCCCCCACCTCTCCAGGTGACGCAGCTTGCCTGCTTGGTCGGGTCGTGGGCGAGGCCGGCGTCGGATCCGATCGCGTCGACGTAGAGCGCGCATGCGGCGCGCTCGTGGACTTCCAAGGCTGACGGGTTGGCGGTGGACAAGACGCCCCGGATGACTGCGAGGGTGGCCTGGGGCGGGAATTTCTTTGCCACTGGGCCCTCCCAGGTCGCGGGGCAGCTCGCACCCCTGGCCAGGGGGTGGTGGTGGGCGACCGTGACTAAGCGGGGGGCCGCTGTGATCAGGATCGCAAGTGCAGAGTGTAGCTGCTTGAAGTGTTTCCACTGGAGCCCGAACAACGCGCCCAACTGGTCGCAGTCTTGTCGCGTGGGCGGTGGGGCCCGCACGAGCCGAGGATGGCCTCGATCGCGTCCCCGATGCCCTCGGCGCCCCCGTGCGGGCGCTGACAGGCACGTGGTTCGCGCTGCGCAAGCAGGGGCAGGGCGACGGGGGCCCTGGCCTGGATGCCATCCAGGGTCGCGCTGGTGCTGTCCAGTAGGCTGCTGACAACTGCGGCTGGGCTTTCTTTTGGGCCCATGTTGCAGAAGGCGTGAAACGCGGCCGTTGTGGGTGACTCCTTGTGTTTCTGGCGCTTGCAGGTAGATGGATGCCAGCATTTGGGCCTGCGCCTGGGGGCGTCTGTCTTTGTCGGTGACTCCGAGTCCTATCGCCCGCGTGATGGTCGCGAAGACCGCAGTGTAGACCAGGCTGCCGGCGCCCAGTCCTACCGGCGCTGAGCAGCAGAAGAGGTGCCCGTTCATGCTCCATCCCTTTCTGTCCTGAAGGCTGGGATCAGTAGGCTGGTCCGCGACGCCGCGCTGGTGCGGGCGTAGCCCGAGGCGCCATGGCAGGCGCGGACCGAGTGCTGCGCAGCCCAGTAGCCTAGTCGTTGCCACGTTGACGCCGCCCCCCAGGTCCTTCCAGCCGCGGTCGGCAGGGGGCGGTAGATCGGCGCGCGCTGCGAAGCCGGCCTGCTGAGCCTGCCGGGCCATGATTACTTCCTTCTCCTTCCGTCTGCGCTCGGCCTCCGCCGCGAGCCTGGCCTTCTCATCGGGGTTGGTTGATTCGGGTATTTCGTCCATGAAAACCTTCGGGCTGGCCTTGGTCTGACTTAGGCTTCCATCTCGATGAATATGGAATTCGAAGGCAAGCTCCGCCTTCCGGGCCCAGGTGCTCAGGTGATGGAGTGCAGCGTCTGTGGACGTGCGGAACATCCTTGCGTCGGCCGTCATGATGAGGTTGCGCTGCGGACGTGTCGGCCCCGCGTTAATGCGGTGCCGGTCGTCGGCGTGGCCCCAGTTTAGCATGGAATTGGCCCGGGTGGTCATGAGGATGGAGGGGGGGTTCTTGCGCCTGTGCGGCGTCGATGGCGGTGGCCCGGATCGCCTCGCTCCCCAGGAGTTCGGGAAAGAGCTCTGCGATCCCGCTGAAGCGCTCACTCAAGCCGTTGGCCGCCGTGGCGCGATTGATCCACGCCCCTCCCGCGGGCCCCCTGGCGGCGTGAGAAGAGGTGGGGCTGTCCCGCCCTTGTTGTCGTAGGGGGCTGGGGCCATTGGTCCTGTCGGCGCCGCCCCCTTGCGCCGCTCGCGAGCAACGTCTGACGGCGAGGAGTGAGCAGCACGCGCGCACACACGCACACACGCACACACAAGCACGCACGCACGCGCGCGCGCACCACAATCCCACGCACAAACACACACAAACATACACACAAGCACACAGCAATATTTTTTGCGCCCGCGTCTAGGCAGAGTGGCTGCGCTGGCGGAGAGGGCATGTGTAGGGCGCGCAGATGAGAAGCGCACACGCGCACACACACGCACACATACACGCACACACGCCCGCACAAACCCACGCACACACGCACACACGCAAACACACACACACACGCACACTCACGCACACGCGCACGCACGCACACACGCACGCACGCGCGCACGCACGCACGCACACTCGCTCGCACGCACGCGCGCACGCCTGCACGCACGCACACGCGCGCACTCGCACGCACGCGCGCACATACGCCCGCCTGCGCACACGCAGGCACGCACGCACACACAACAATACATTAACACACGCACACACGCACACGCACACGCATGCGCACACGCATACACGGATGTACACACACACACACACACGCACACACACACACACACGCATACGCGCACACACGCGCGCCGACTCCCGCCCGCCCTCATGCGCTTGGACGCTTGCACGCACACACGCACGCGCGCACGCAGGCACGCACACGATTGCACGCCTGCGCGCGTGCACGCACGCACGCACGCACGCACGCACGCACGCACGCACGCACCACGCACACACACACACACACACGGCGCCCGCGCCGGCGCCCGCGCCCGCGACCGCACACGCACTCGCACACGCACGCGCACGCACACACGCACACGCACACGCACACGCACACGCACACGCACAAGCACGCGCACGCCCACGCGCACACGCACACGCACGCGCACACGCATGAACACACGCACGCGCGAACGTACGCGCGCGCACACACACACACGCACGCACACACGCACACACGCACACACACACACACACACACACACACACACACACACGCACACGCGCACGCACACGCGCACGCACACGCACACCCGCACCTGCCTCCCCTTAACCCCCGCCCCCACACCCCAAATTCTCCACAACCCCACACCCCCACACCCCCACGCCCCCGCACCCCCACACCCCCACACCGCCACGCCCCCACGCCCCGACGCCCCCTGTCCCCACACCCCCATACAGACCCACGCAAACCCACACAGGCTCGCACAGACCCACGCAGATCCACGCAGACCCACACAGACTCACGCAGACCCACACAGACATACACCGACCCACACAGACCCACACAGACCCATACAGACCCACACAGACCCAAACAGACTCACACCGACCCACGCAAACGCACAGACCCACACAGACCCACACAGACCCACACAGGCCCACACAAACAGACAGACACACAGACACACAGACGCACAGACACACAGACGCACACACACACACACACACACACTTGTAAGCCGGCGGCGCAGAGGGGCCCCAAGCGCGGTCGGCAGGTGGAGGTGTCAATTGCGAACGAACTTAGCCGACCACACCATGATGACAGAGGCCAGGCGCGGCTATGCAGGATACGTTGTGGAAGACGAGAGGCGATGCAATGCCGAAATGCAGCGGCCAAACAAGCCGAGGAACATAAGCTTGACGCGGGTAGTTTGACGTGCAGCAGCCTACTGCTAGTTGAATTGATTGAAACAGCAAAAGGGCATCAACAAAACAACGATACGGCTGCCAGACTAGCCACACACGCACCCACACACACCGACATACACAGATACAGACGCAGACGCAGACACAACCACACCCATGCACACAACACGCACACAACACACACACAACACACAACGCAGACAACACACAGCACACAACACACAGAACACACACAACACAAACAACACACAGCACACACACACCACAGACAACACACAACACACACACACGCCACACACAGCACACACAGCACACACACAACACACAACGCGTACACACAACACAAACAGCGCACACACACAACACACAACACACAACGTGCAACACACACCCGCGACACACAACAGAACGCACAACGCACAACGCACACCACACACCACACACCCAAACACCGCACGACACACACCACACACCACACAACACACAACACACACACACCACACACCACACACCCACACTCCACACACCACGCAACACCCAACACCCAACGCCCAACGCCCAACACACAGCACACAACACACACACAACACACAGCACACCACACACCACACACCACACACCACACACCACACACAACACACAGAACACACCACACACCACACACCACACACCACGCAACACACACACCATGCACCACACACCACACACCCACACACCACACACCACACACCACACACCACACACCGCACACCACACAACACACACCACACACCACACACCGCACACCACACACCACACAACACACAACACACACCACACACCACACAACACACAACACGCAGCACACACACAACGCACAACGCACAACACACAACACACACATGCACTACTCACGACTCACTACTCACGCAGCACACACACACTCTCACCCTCACACACTCACACAATCACGCACAATCACGCACTCACACTCACACACACACACACACGGGGGGAACGACAGCGATGAAAGCAGCGGCAACAGCTGATCTGGAGCCAGCAGCAACCAGATAAGGCGCGCGCCACCTGCGAGCCGTCTGGGGAGAGAACGGCCGCACGCACCTTACGGCCGCTTGCGCAGCGCGGGGTTTGATAGGGACGGGCGGAACGGTTTGGAGGGCAAGGAGAACGATACTAGAGAGGTGGAGGATCAGGAACGCGGGAGGAACATGGAAGAAAAGGATGCGAAGAGGGAGGAGTAATACAAAACCGAGAAGGAGAAGCAGGGGAAGGGGAGAAGGAACATCAATGAGGAAAACGGGGAAGTGGGGAATGAGTAAGATCAGGGGGGGCGGGAATGAGCAACGATCGACAAGAGGAGGACACGCGGCGGAGGACAAGGCGAAGGAGGACAAGCGGTGGAGGACAAGAGGGAAGGTAACACGGAGGATAACGACAAAGGGGGACGACTATTGACTCGAGGAGGGATGCAGACGCGGAAGATGATGAAGAGGGTCGGCCTGTTCTCTGGAAGGTTCGGCTGACTCGCTTGGGCGCTGTGTCGCGCCTCCTCCTGGCATCCAGAGTCGGATGAATCGGAGTAGGAGGACGACTGCGAGGCGGGGATTTATCCATATCCACCGCCTGGGAACCGACGTCCTCGTGCCCCAGCGGGCGGTGGATGTGGATATATTTCGGTCCCCGGGGGCCCGAGTATGTCCATATCCACCGCCCGCCGAGGCTCCGAAAACTGGCCCTCCAGGCGGTGGTCACGTATGAATTCCCGTCTCGGAACGACGACGAACCATGGACAGCTACAGTAGCAGCGAAAGAGAGTGGAAAGCAGAGGATTATGAACACGGCGGCATTGTTGAAGATGGGGAGGGTGAGGAGGATGACGACAGTGATGAGGACGACGGGAGCGGCAGCAGTAGCAGGGCACACAGGCGAGGACGAGGAAAGGAACACATAGGGCGACGGGGCACAAGGAGAGAGAGGGAGGGAGGGATCAGCAGAAGAAGAACAAACGCCATAAGCATACACTTTTGGGGCTCCGCGCGAATCTCTTGGATCCGCGCCGGACCCCCCTCCCGGCGCCCGGCGCGCGGAGCGCGCCAGGGGCGGCGCCGGGAGCGCCGCCAGGGGAGCCCCGGCGCGGATCCGAGAAATCCGCGCGGAGCGGCAAACATTTATGTTTATGGCGTTTTGTTCTTCCTCGATGCGGGGAGACGTAAGACTCGGGTACGGGGCACTCGGGTTGGCTAGACGGGGCCATCATAAGCATGACGAGACCCAATCTGAAATTTGAGGCGAGCTCCCGCTGCAGACATCCCACGAAAGCCGGACCGTCAAAATCCAGGACGCGCTCGTCAAAGAAACGTCGGCAAGCTCTAGTTCAGGCTTTCGGCGGTGGACAAACCTCCCTTTAGCAAACCACCCTGAGTGAAAACGGCCTGGGACCGAAGCCGACGGACCTGGACCCGCAACAGTGCCAGCCGCGACGCCCTCTCGCGAACCGAAAGCGGCCAATTCGCGCATCGACGTGTCAGGGTAGGAGGTCTATCAACCTCCGAGGCTCACTCGAGTCTTACGCCTCCCCGACCGATGGGTACCGAGGGAAGGGCACGCAGAGCGGTGCTGTGCACGCCCGTCTCGGGAAGCCGGCACCCGAAGCCTCCGCGTGCGCCGCGCCCGCCCCCCTGCGAGCCGCGGGGCCGCGCGCCGGCCGCCGCGGCTCACCTACATTGGGGAAGGCGTAGTTACACTGGGCAGGGACCGACCGTCCCAGCATTTCTACAAGGCCTACCACGACATGCACTCAGAACCCCCAGAATTCTCTAAGAAGGAATGCGGTGTTCTTGGAACAGAAGCCCGACGTGTGAACACAAGGCAGACTCGGCCAGAGATGTTCTAAGTCTAAGAGCAGCTAGGCTCTTGGAACATTCTTTGGTGGGCCTGTAGGCGAGCCAGGACGCTTCGCCACTGCTTGAACAAAGGGACACGCGCGTCCCACGACTCGCGAAAGAAGTACGGCCAGTTCGTGCCGTGCCGACCCCAGCGTTGGTTCCTGAGACCGGGAGGATCGTTCAGCAGCCTGGGACGATCGGCCGCTTCCGATACGTCAGATCGTCCAACGTCGACCGATTCTGGATCGCAGGCGGCGTTCAACGTGGAACGCCAGCGGCGGGGTCGCTGCCGGTCGACACGACGCGAACCTACCGTAGTCGCAAATGGCCCGGATCCGCCGCGGGGGATTCACGGACGTACTTCGCGAACGTTTGCGAGTCGGCACTTTGCGAGTACTGGAACGCGCTTGGTGAATAAGACTCGGGTTCGGGGGACTCGGGTCGGCCTCACGGGGCCGTCAGGAAGACGACGCGACAAGAATTGAAATCTGGCGCGAACTCCCGCTGCAGGCGCCCACAAAAACTGGACCGTCAAAAGAGCGCCGGCAAACCCGAATATCGCCGAGCTCGAATCCTAATTACGCGCCCCCAGCGGGCCCCAGAAGCCCGGAACCCCGAAAAGATGCCGTCTCTTGGGGGCCCATGCTTTCACTGCCGCCGGCTTCCGTCAACCTTCCGCTGGCTTCCGCGGTCGGAGCCGCTCTCCATGTCTGTCGGGAACCCACTGGTCCAGGTCAATGCAAACATGGGTCAGTCAGACTCAGCAAGATCCTGCCACATCCTGCAAGATCCTACAGGGCTTTGCACGCACGCCCGGGTCAATGCACCCCCACGGCTCTGCAAGCTCCAGCGGGGTCTGGCGCTCTGGCTGACCCCCGCTTACACTGACCCGCGTCTCGAGGCTCCCGAGCATTCGCTTCCGCCGCCGTCCGCCGGGAAGAAGAGAGGGCAACTCCTTCGGATCCGCGACCCTGAGATCCGACGTTGCGAAAAGCATGCAGCATGGAAGCACATCATCGCCCGAGCTCGGGACCCCATCTTCCTGCGTCCTTCCTCGAGCTGGATCAACCTGCGAGGGCCCTGGGGCCCGAAACACCAAGCGAAAAGACGCCCGCTGCGACAAACAAGCGCGTTGCAGCGCCAGGATCCCGGGGGAGGGCGAGGCCCTTCCCTCGGTGGTTCGGAGATGGGGTCCTGAGGGATGGGGTCCTAAGGACGAGGTGCCTCAAACCATGCGAATCCACCCTTGGACCCCTTCCCATCATTGGGACCCCACCCCTCAGGACCCCATCTCCGGAACCACCGATCACTGGTGCGCCCCGCCTGGCGCCGAGCCCCTCGCTCCCGGCGCGGCCGGCGGCCCACCGCTGGGCCAGCACCAGGGCCAGGTAGCTCAGCAGGGGGCCCAGGAGCAGCATCGCGAGGGCGCGGAGCGCCTCGCGCTGCCGCAGGAGGCACCAAATCTCGGCGGCGCCCGCCTTCGCCATCCGCCAGTACCGCCTCGCCTGCGCCGATCGGACGGCCATCTCGGGAGAGCCTGCCAGCTTGCCTCCCTCGTCCCTCCTGGTCCTCCTCCTGCGCTCCCGACAGGAAAGCTGTGTCCTCCGACTGTCCTCCGTCCTCCTCCTCCGTCTTCTTTCTCCTTCTTCCTCCTCCTCCTCCTCCTCCTTCCTCCTCCTCCTCCTCCTCCTCCTCCTCCTCCTCCTTCTCCCCCTCCTCCTCGCTGGCCCTCCTCCTCCTCCTCCGCACTCTCCCCCTCCCCCTCCCCCTCCTCCCTTTCCTCGTCCTCTTCGTCCTCTTCGTCCTCTTCGTCCTCTTCGTCCTCTTCGTCGTCGTCGTCGTCGTCGTCCTCCTGCTCCTCCTCGTCCCTTCAGAAAGTGTTCCCTGGACCTCTCCTGGGGTGCGTTCTGGCCAGACTTTCAAGGCGGACCCAGCCGCGGAGACGATAGGCCTCCTGGAGGCCCAGAAAAAGTGAAACACGCCCAGAAACCGGGACCCTCGAACCTTGAACGTCGATCCTCGAAATTCGTCTTAAGCCTGTCAACTTGCCCCTCCACTTGTCGTCCGGGCTGCCCCGGTCGTACGCCACCCGCTTCTTGCAATTCTCAAGCGCCTTTCGGACCTCCCTATTGTCCGGCATGAGCCTCGCCGCTTCCACGAGGTTGGCCCTCGCCTCCCAGCTATATTTATCGAGCTTAGAAGCCAGTATTCCCTTTCCTCCCGTCGGTTCTCCTTTTGCTCATCCTGTTCCTGCATCCACTTTACTCATATATTGCTCCTTCCTGGAACCACTGGACGTGTCTGTAGGGCGGCCGGGGCGATTCGAATGCGAGATCTCAACCACTTGTGATCCTGAAGCTAGGGTTCTCCAACAGTTTCAAGGATGAAGGGCGGACCCTTTTCAAAACTGGGCTCCCACCTCAGCGCCGCCTACATACGTCTTCAACGATTCCGGCAGTAAGAAGGATGGGTGAAATGGCCTTTCCCAAATGGGGATCTCGCCCAATCGTCGTCGCAACTACTTGCCGCAGCTTCAAAGATGGAGGGAGAGCTCTTTTCAAAATGGGGTCCTCGCTTCAACGCCACACGCATCCGTCTGGCAAGTTTGTAACGGCTGCGAGGATGGAGGGCGGTACATTTTCAACATGAGGCTCTTTCTCCTCAGCGCTGCGCGCATTCGTTTCCAGTCATTGCATCACCTTATGGACGGCGGTTCCTTTTCGACATGTGGCTGTCGTTTGAGGCAGAATCGGACTGAACGACCATACGCTTGAACATATATAAGAGCAACACGGATGTATGTCGCTTCCTTTCAGAATGGGAGGAAGGCCACGCGTGTAGCAGCACTGACCAACAATTGCACGGATGGGGGGGACGGCTCCATTTCAAGAGGTGCTCTCATTGAACACCGCGTTGAACGGTATGAACATTCCTAGAAAAAGAAACAACGGCATAAACAGAAACTCTTGGCGCTCCGCGCGGATTTCTTGGATCCGCGCTGGACCCCCCTCTCTGGCACGCGGAACGCGCCAGTGGCGGCGCCGGAGGAACCGCCGGGGGGGCCCCAGCGCGGATCCAAGAAATCCGCGCGGAGCGAGACAAGTTAATGTTTATTCAATTTTGGTTATTCTTCGACTCATGGAACACCGCGTTGAACGTTATGAGCATACCCATCGGTCGGAAGAAGTAGGTAGAAACATGAAGCAGGAAGGCGGATAACGTAGATTGGTTTCGGACTCGCCCAGAGAGTAACAACACGCAGCAAAAGCATATCGATTCTTGAAGTAGGAAGACGCTTGCAGTAGATTAAGTTCTGGGAATCCAGAAATACCTACTTTCAACGACCGATGGGTTCCGCTTCGCATTACCTGTCACTCGCTAAGAAGGGATGCAAAACAAGAAATTCTCAAACTGGGGCTCTAACCTGAATGGCAGGCCCGCACGGGCGCTCGTCTTCCGAGGGGACGTTTCTTGCAGTGATGAAAACCAAAGCGCTCGTCTTTCACCGGGGGCGCTTCTTGCAGTGAGTCATACGCACGTAGCTTGTGGGGCCTTCCGAGGGTGCTTTGGGCAGGGAGGTGTAATGAATCATCCTCTATGCGTCCTGGGCTTACTCTGGTGCCACTCCTACTCTATCTCCTCTTCCTTCTCCTCCTCCCTCTCCTCTTCCTCCTCTTCCTCCTCCTCCTCCTCCTCCTTCTCCTCGTCCTCCTCCTCTTGCTCGTTCTATTGATAATTTTGGCGCTGCTGCCGCCTTTCCCCTTCTCCTCCGCCACCTCCTCTTCCCTCTCCGCATCGCTCCCACTCGGGATGTGCCCCATCCCCTCGACAACGTATCGAGCTGAACTGAGCAGAGCCGCGGCGACCATATCACCTTACGAAAGCTCAAGGACTCAACACTCAAGGAGGAGGGGATAGGGACGGCGGAATATGCGGAGGGAGAGTAGGATGATCAGGGGTAGGATGTTTGGGAGGAATATGATGAGCAGGCGGAGTGCGATGGTGAAGGCAGTCAATGTGAGATACACGAGTGGGAAGATCATGCTAAGACGGATTCAACGGATGATGAGGATGGGGAGGAGGGGTATCCAGGGCAGCAACAAAACCGTGTGATGACGGACCGCATGGTGACCTCGGAATCCC